CAAAATAATTGCCACATGGACACCTGGCGCGATCTCAGCCCCTCACCTTTCACCCCTTGACAAGTGTGCATCAGTCAACATGGCCACATCCTTACCTTTTACCCTAAATTATTATTTTATGACTTTTTCTTAGAAAATTCATAACTAAATACACAAAAATCACAATAATGTTCCGAAAATTGCTACAACCTCATTCACACTTCATCTTCCTCCTCAATTCCCTGTTTCATGGTTACGCTACATTAGTATTTTATTATTATTTATCCAAAATTATTTTTATTATTATTGTTATATTACTTGTTAGCTTGTACATTTGTTAATTATATTTACTCCAAATTTGTAATTTTATTTTTATTTTCCGTGTGAATAGACCATTTCTGGTGCTAATCAGTTTCTCTCTTCTTCAATTTGTTAATGTTTTTTCTTTTTTAGGTGTAAGGGATGTTTTCAAACATAAAATGGAAATATACAAGCCATCCATTCTACAACATCAGGAAATAATTATTCAAAGTCTTTAACTGTTCAAGTTTTGCTTAAGAAACGTGTAACCCAATCATTTGGGATATGCTAAGTGGGAAAATGTCATTCCCAAGAACCGGTGAAAAGACACATACTCACTTCATGCATGCGTTTTCGTTTACCAAATATTAAGATTGCAGTTGTGCAAAATATCTGTGTCAGTAAAATGTCATTCTTAGCCGTCAATTATGTCAGTAATAATTCCACTATATAGCAAATATTATACATTATATATAAAACGGGCTAGGACAGCACAAACACCAGACAAAATAGATTAAAACATGAAATAGAAAACAACATGTGTAGAACATAGACACGCATAAAAACCGTAGAAACATACTCCAACTAATTATAAGGGTATGGATTCCCTGGCACAACATAGACACGCATCACCTTGAACCAAAAAACACTCTCACGGTGCCATTTGCATCGATTGCAACAAGTCCAGAAGGCAGGATTGATCTTTTCTTCACTAGGCCAGCCTGGAATAACAAAACACCAGTCGTTGTTGTTACAAGCGCTGCACTGATTGAACTTAATCTTCCCATAGTGAAACATATCTACGATATGTCTTCCAACAGAGAAAATTCCGCTTAATCGTCGTCTCAAAGCATCCCTGGTTCCTTTCATATCAATGTTGTTACGTTGATTCAAAGAACACAAGAATTCCAATGCATCCTCTTTTGACTGACCAATTCCGGACATGCCAAGTAGTCCAACTAGATATGACGCTTCCATATGGCCTGCCGTGGCTGCAACGCGCATCCCAGACAATGCTTCCACATTACCCTGCCTGAAAAACATGTCGAACGCTTCTCTAAATATCGCCTCAGGGTTCTGGCAAGCCCTGCATTGGTCCACGAAATGCCGGACCTGCGCTGCGGCATAGTACCAGTTAGGATGGTCTCGGTACTTTTCCATTGAAATTGTGTTCCACACTTGTGGAGTGTTTGCCAACGTATTGAACAATCGGCACACACATGCCATACGAAAGAGATCTTCCGATGAGTTGGTTGCCACGTATAACATCACTTTAAACCAAGCTAATTCCGGGATGAAGGCTTGAGGCACATCCGGATCGCGATGCTTCCTTCTCTTTCCTCCGACTGTAGTGTAATGTTTGGAATTCATTGAAATATTTTTGGAATGGAACGATTTGAGGACTGCAAGAGGGGAGAAATGAGAATATACGGGGTTTTGGGTTTGTTTTAGCCTCTGGTTGCACTGTTCTGAAAAGGTGTTTCCTTGGGGTTTTACCAAGTTGACACTTTTTAAAGAAACTGAACTCAACACCCAAAACATAAGACAGGCGAAGGGAAAACGTCATCAAAATGCAAAGGGAGTCAGACCGTCCAAAAGTCAATTAATAACCTATTTCCATAGCCATTGTTAGGCTTTTCCCGCCATTAAATTCATTGATACAAATGTGATGGATTACTGACTAGTGACAGAAGGTCCCATCAGATACTTTTTCATTTTCCCACACCACACTACCCCTATTAAATGCCGGATTCTTATCCAACTAGTTGCCTTAATGCAATATAAAGAAAATAATATATTTAAAGCAGTGTCCCCTCAATTGTAAGATTAATTATTGTTTGTGAAATAGTATATCGCTTATCGGAGTAAAATGTGTCACAATTCTGACGGTACAGGTGTCCAGATCGTGACCAACCCACCCACACACAGAAAAGAAGGATATAATTCGATTTGGGCAGAGATGAGAGAGAGCTGAGTGAGAAGTTTAGGGTTATGACTTATGAGTGAAGGGGTATAACTCAGAAGGTATGAGTCCGAAGAGGTTTTAGTGAGAAGATCTGAGTGAGAAGAGGTACAAGTGATAAGATTCAACATGTCTTCGTCTTCATCTCCCGCTCAAACAAAGAGGTGTCAGTATTGTGGAGCTGCAATGGTGCTTCGGGTTTCAAAATCAGATAAAAATCGCGGGAAGGCATTTTGGAAGTGTCTAACCTCCTATGTAAGTTCTCATTTCCAGAATATGTATGTGGGTGAAAAAAATCCTAGGTCTAACTCTGACAGAATTATTTTGCATATATGATGCCTGCAATTAGGGAGCCACCAGCTGCAATGGATTCGAATGGGTTGATGTAACCTCCGCTGAAGCAGATCAGCAAGCTGACACGTATGATGCTACAGTGCTTAATATGCTGAAGTCCATTAAGGACTTGGTATTAGTTTTATTAGTTGTATCAATTGTCATATTATTTGTTCTTTTAATGACCAATTAAGTGCACGGTTTGAAGGATTGTAAAAGTTCTCCCCAAAAAACACATGTTGCACGCACCACCAATGACTTTTCAAACCCAATTTGTAATTTTTGTTATTGAAATAGGTGGATTAGCATTGAGTTTAAATTATTGTTTGAAACAAAAGCATTTAATTGTCAGAAACCCAGTAAAAACTTTCCTACAGTTACTTTACAAAAATAAAGTCAGACGAAGACGATAAAATGACAATACAGGGCCAATACGATGCAATAATAAGACAATACCTTTTTTTTAAGATTGCATAATTATTCAGTGTATATAGATTGTTTATTGATTGTTTACTGCATGTAAATCGCATGATATTGACTGTTTATTGAAGGTTCATTAACTGCATGTATTTCGCATGTTATTACTCCGATATTGAGTGTTTATTGAAGGTTTATTGATTGTTTACATGTTTCGTGAAGGTTTCATGATTGTTAACTGCATGTATTTCACATGTTATTGAACCGATATTGAAGGTTTATTGAAAGTTGATTGAGTGTTTACTGCATGTATATCGCATGTTATTGCTCCAATATTGCAAGTTTATTGGGGGCAAAAGTAGGACTCCAGTTAGATTTAAGGGGGGAAACGGTCCTTATTCTTTGTTTTCGTAGGAAGAACAACTTAAGTAGAATTTCCTATTCAATACGACTTCCTTATGGTTGATGTAATTGGGGACTGATGTATATTGCATGTCTATTGCGTGTATATTTCATATCTATTGCGTGTATATTGCTTGTCTGTTGCCTGTGTATTGTTATTTATTTCCGTCGTAAGCAATACAAATCAATACAGACGCAATAAATGTAAAGATATGCACGCAATAGACAAGCAATATAGACCCAACAGACATGCAATATAGACGCACCAATATACATTACTGTTATGTTACTCAGCTGCCCAAAACCAATAAAATAAAGAAAATCAACCAATTTATTAACCGATTATAAAGGAGAGAGGGATTCAAACCCGAGGGGCAGTGCGGAACCAATAGGGAGTTTTTAGAGCATTGCACCTGGGGACATTTTTCATGTGTTTCTATAAGGAGGGCATGGTTGAATAAAATATTGGAGGCGAGGCCATAGCAGCCTATTCCCCTTACAGAATTACCTTAAGATGCAACCCATTGCGATTAAGTCAAGGCATGTTGAACGGCTTAAAGATTGGGATCTGATATTTGGAATGGTGGCTTGGATAAATGATGACATATCACTTTGCAATGATGTAATACACTTAAAAAGCCATCAGTCCGTATGTGAATATGCATTCTTCAAATCCAAATTCACATATGCAGTCTTCAAATCCCAATTCAATGCAGTTTGGTTGAGGTTAGGTAAATGTCGTGAAGGAGTTAGGCCAATATTACACCGATGTTTGTTTCATTACATCAAAAAAAACTTTACACTCCATATGCACATTCTATGTATGGGAATGGCATGTGTCTAACTTCAAAAACGCATCTGCCTATCCATTTAGATTGCCCACGTGCAATAGATTTACAGATCCAGTTACTTTTCTCCTCTCCAACCCTCAGCATCTCCATTTCAGAGTCTTCATTTTTCTATGCTCTGCAACCAGCTCCATATACATTTTGCACAATATGAGAATACACATAGCGTAATATCACACTAATCAAAATGAAAGCATGCATCCGCTATAATATTTGCCACTATTTGGTTCTAATTGTTATTGTCCAGTAACTTAAATCTAAATTTCTGTACACAAATACACTAAGATTGAGAAAGACGAAGAAGAATTCAGGAGCAGAGGTGGAATTCGAAAAGGACCCATGGGTCTCTATTGTGTATTTACATGACTTTGAAATTTGACATTCCCAAAACCTATTTCATCATCATGTGCCTAAACCAAGTTCAACCGATATCATGGCATGTAAGCATCTCCCCGTGCAATTTCTGCAGCCAACTTCAACCGAAAAAATGGCATGTTCTGCGAGGTGCAAGTAGCTAAGGAAATCTCAGCACTCAACAGCTCAATGTACTTCAACACGAACATACCACAATCGCCTCTGAAGCAAAACAAGAACTCGATCAATTCAACTAATGACATTCTAACATAATTGACAAATTAAAGTAATAAAATTAAATAAAAAGTTGTGCTCACTGATTAGCCTGTTGTGGAACATCCACACGATGTATTGGCCATGGACACCACCAATCTCGGGTGCACTCGTTCGCGTAAACACCTTCTTCATAAAAGTCGAGGGTGTGCAGAAGATTTGGAATCGTAATTGACAGGGGGCCCGAGTTCTTCCTTTAAGCTCTGATCTGGAATGAGTGAAACCATTGAATCGTAGACTTTGATTTCACACTGAATCAGATCAATCTCTAGAGCCACCCAATGCTTATATTTTTGCAACATACAAGGTACATACACCTTATACGTGTTCTGCCAATCCAATCCACAAGCCGGAACCTTGCCATTTACAACGTTCACTAAACTGGTTCTAATTTTCCACCCAACTTGCTCTTTTTTCCTTTTATTATCCGCAAAGCAAGTATGGATGTGATTCTGTGAAATAGAAAACAATCAATGGTTAAACAACTCCACAAAGCAAGTATGGATAATTTTGTAATTATTAACTGCACTTGGTCAAGGCCTATGCCATACTGATGTAGCACAGCCCTGGGTGTGTTAGTTTAAACACTTAGAGCAATAAGACATAACAGATAAGAAAAGCTGAAGGGAAGAAAAGGTAGAAGGCAGGCAGAAATCAGAGAGTTTAAAGGAATGTTTAATCAATATTCAAATCTGAATTGTAAAGAACTACACAGGGGTATTTATAGCAAACTAAAACCTAGAGAGAATAGAATTAAAATCCCCAGGTAAAACAGAAATCCTATTCCTAATAAAATAGGAAACTTAGAAATCCTAATAGGATTTGGAAAACTAACTTAGAAATCCTACTAGGATTTGGAAAACTAAAGATATAGGAAACTAACCAATAAATTAGGAAACTAAACAATTTAGGTCCTATGCATCCTGCATCACATACCATAAAAAATACATCGGTCGTTGTCCAATCCGATATTTCTACTTCCTCCAACTGTTGTTGTCGCTTCCGGATGAGATACAAGCCCAAATCAATGTGCTGCACATGTTTTCCTTGTCAATCTCATTATCTATGCACATTCAAACAAATGCATAATCAATTAAACTTACATCTCCTTTCAGCCAGCCGTCAGCTTTGACGAGGGAAGCGAAGAATTCAATCTCAGCTTCCACGTTGCCAATTGCATCACCAAACTATGAATATAAAAAGTTTTAGAACACAACAATTACAAAATATATACACTCATGCCTTCTATCTCAAAAAACAAAGGACTTACTTTGGGTTATGGCGCCATTCCGAACAAAGTTTCAGCAATTTCACCATATCATCATGCGGAATCGCCTTCATTGGGTCTAACGTCCGAAGTCCGGTTGTCTTTGGCAAATTTTTTTTAACCACTTCACTAGCTTCAACGATCTTCCACATAGGAATAATCCTCTTCCTCTTCCGTAATTGGACCCCTCGTTCCACACCTTGACCTTCATCATTCAACCAAACGTTCAACTGAGATAACACAGCTCTAGGTTGATCCAAATCAATGTCCCCGACAGTAACCTCAACCTTTGTCCCCTCCGTGCTCTCGCCAATGTCATCGCCAACCAACATAACTTCATCATCCTCTTCCTCACATTGGTTTCTTTGCACTTCCTTTTCCTCACTTCTCTGTCTTTTCACTTCCTTGCCCTTTTTTTTTTTTTTTTTTTTTTTTTTCCTCTCCCTCACTGCTTTTTCTTTGCAGTTCTTCCTCTCCCTCAATGCTCTTTCTTTGCGCTTCCTCTCCTTTGCTGCTTTTTATTTTCACTTGCTCTCCCTCACTTCTTTTCCTTTGAGCTTCCTCTACCTCCCTTGGTTTTCTTTGCACTTGGCCTCCTTCAATCCCCTTCTCTTCCTTTTCCTCTCCCTCATTTCTCTTACTTGGCACTTCACCCCCTTCAATCCCCTCCTCTTCCTTTTCCTCTCCCTCATTTGTCTTACTTGCCCCTTCACCCCTTTCAATCCCCTCCTCTTCCTTGTCCTCTCCCTCATTTCTGTTATTTGGCCCTTCACCCCCTTCAATGTCCTCCTCTTCATTTGCCTCTCCTTCATTTCTATTACTTGGCCCTTCATCCCATTGCATGCCATCCACTTCCTCATATCCCTTAAATAGATGTGACACGACACAACGATTCGTCCTCTCTTTCAGTAAAGCTATGTCCCTTCTCACTTCCTGCTCAAAATGAGGACCTAAACAGTGGCCCAAATTTTTTTCCATCCGTATGACCTTTAACTCAAGGACGTCCTTTTCCCGCTTTACTTGAAACAACTCGGACCTCAACAAGCTTACCGCCTTGTTCAACTCATCAAGGTCAGCACATGAAGAAGGAATTGACTCTGCCGAGACAACAGCAGGGCGACCCTGTGGCCAACTCCAATATGGTTGTCTCATTTCCTCTTCACTTGGACATAGCGCCCGCAACTGAACTGACTGTTTCAGAAAACAGACAAGAGTCATATGCAATCATTCTACTTCATAATTTCATTGAATCTTATAAATAGTTCCAAGGGCTGCAAACCAAACCTCTTTGCTCTGGAAAAAATAATTGTTCAACTTTCTCATCTCGGGAACAGACGTAGTAGTTCTCCATCGCAAAATACGCGGGAGAGCTGTCGGATCAACAACCTTGCAGTAATTCAGGTCCACCATTCTAGGAATTAATTCATATACCCAAATCTACACAATTCACAGGACACAAGTTATTATTTAAGTTTTAAAGTCAACAAAACATAACGACATGAACATTATTACCATGTACCTGGAAAGCATACGTGAAACCTTTAAAACTCCAGCCACCCCTTTGCACTTCACCATGGTTATCCTTCTTGCCCTTCTCATTTCTCCGGCTTGTTCCGGTTACCTTACATTTCCCCTTCCCTCTTCCCTCTTCATTTTCAAAGCTTTTCACATACTTTGTTGGTGCAGAAAACAGACTGTCTTGGGTTTTGTCAAACGACACCGAACCCCATGGAAACCTGTTGAACGCATCCAAGTCCTCTACAAGGGTCAGGTAATTTAGATTGATGTTCAAATGTTTGTCCCTTCCCAAAACCACTAACTCAGCAAAGTAAACAAGAGCTAGCTTGTAGACGTCATCTTCCTCTGTGCACCTCACAAATGTTTCTTCTAAAGCATTACATGTAATTCCTTCGTCTATAAAATATCTTTTCTGAAGTCTAATTTCATCACTTTCTCCACTGGAAACTTCAGGCACTTCCCCAAAACGAAGCCCTGAGATCAAACAGAAATCCTGACGAGTGAACTGAGCAACGTCGCACCCTATTAAGAAACTCAGTCCATCCAAGTCTTTCACACCCTGCCCCGCTACTCTACGCAACACAACCCCATGCACAATCTGCCCGCTAAACTGAATCTTATCTATATTCAGAAGATGGCCAAAGCATGATGTCTTGAATTGTTCTAATTGTTCGGCACTCAACTTCGCTCGAATTACAGCTAGGGATGAATTTGCATGTGAGCAGTTGTTCACCCGTGAGGAATATGCCTCTGACTCTGGCCATACCAGCTCAACGTTGGATCCCATTTCCTGAAATACAAGATGAAATAACGTGAACACATATACTACCACGTATTTGCACAATCACATTGGTATTTACACAACTAGTCAACCAGCACATTACAAATTTTACAAAGTACATGCGCATAGGGATTACTGATCACAGGCTTTAACATCATCAAAGCAATATGACATATTTTGTGCAAATACCTGTTAATGCAATGATTCTGTGAATTACAAGCACTAGCATGTGTTTTATTTATGGATCCAAACTCCAATCAATGGTTGATGCATGAGTGAGTGTGAGTGCAATCTAGGCAAGTTCTGCACTTCACACACATGACAATTATTGTCATTTCATACACAACACAAAATAAATAAATAAATAAATGAGAAAGATGGTGGAAGGAAGCAAAGCAAAGCATCTGCTCTGCTATCTGCTCGCTAAGCCATTGCCACATCCTTCTTTCTTTCTAGCTTTTTTCTTCAGTCAGCCATAATCGTCATAGATCAACCTTTTTTCAAATGCTTTGCACTTTTATTCATGAGTTTATTATTATCTGTTCTCATTTTTAACAGGCAAATTTAGTAACAACGGAAATAATATTTATTTCAAAAATTATATATATTCTAGCTCCAGAGAGATAATCTGCACTCTGCACTGCTTCAAATGTGGAAGGTTTTGAGGGCCTCCTCCAATTCAACACCATTACCTTATTCATATCATTATTGACATGTTATTGACTTTATATTCATTCGTTTTTTAACATATACCCAAGCAAAAATTAACATGCAAGTGAAGCACAAAGAAGAGATGCCAAATCTAACAACATTCATGCTACAAATTGGGGGAAAACGGTTACTCTAACCCTAAACTCAAATTCCATAAATTACTCACCAAATGCTGGTTATTGAACAATCGCAAGGTGTCTGTGTTGGGTCTTTGTGCGGCTTTGCTCCACAAATGGAACCTATCACTTCCAACGAATACGGCTTCTCTCCTTCCCCTTCCACTGCTTCGTCTTCACTGTTTCAGAATCCACGCCTTTGCTCCTTCCACTCAAAATAAATATTTTTTCACGGTTTAGATAGTGGAGTTGCGTTCAACCGTCGTTAACCTTTGCCTTCAACCGTCGTTGCCCGTTGCCTTCAACCGTCGTTGCCCGTTGCCTTCAACCGTTTCTCAGAGCTTAGCGGTTTCTCTCAGCTATGAGTTTGAGATCAATGGGTTTTTTTCTGTTCAAACTTCGAACTTGCCTCTCTTTTTTTTTTTGTTGGGACCAACTTCATTGCTGGATATTAAATTCGGGTTTGGGTTCCTCACCTACCCGATTGCACAACTTTATCCCAATTCTCCCCAGCCCTTCGATTGATCCAATGACTATAAAGTGAACCCCTTATAACTTACCCCTTATAACTTACCCCTCATTATAGTCTGGCCGCGAAATGACTAGCAGTTTGGGCTGGATTTGGAGAGCATTTAATGCCACTTTATCCGGCTTTGCAAGTTAACCCACGTGCGAAATGGCTGCTTAGTGTATTTGTTTGCTTTCGGCGGCCCAATTCTTTTCTTGTAACAACCGAAACTCTGGGCCCAATTTAATTTATTTCACTGACAATGAAGACTTTTGAAGTCGGTTATTTTCATATATTTTCCTTGTTTATGCCACGTTTCTTTCACTTGATAGTGGAAGATATAAACGTTTTCTTTGATGGTGGAAGATATAAACGTTTCTTTCATTTTATTTGGCTGCTCCCGACACTTGAGAAAGATATATAAACGTTTTCTTTGATGAGTGAAAGAAAACATGTCCATTATAGTGAAGTAACATTCATGCTAATGAGCTTGATAAAATAAAATAAATGAATCAATGTATGATACATTAAATCTCTGCAAGTGAGACAGCTTCAATTATTCGTGCTCCTTGCGCCTTGGTCATAGACGTGGATCTCTCGAAGGTTGAGTGGTTGTACTGGCCTCGCATTCGTCTCTGCATACTGCAATCAATTTAAGACGCCAAACATTAGATACTACTCAATAATGTTTTATGAGGGTTCAAACACATTATCTCGACTGCAAGAATAGCTACTCTTAACTATTTGAGCTACAAGCCCCTTGCGTTACTTGAAGAAAATAGTAGAGAATTGAAGCACTTACATCATGCACAGCCACTCGAAATAGCTTTACTTGATCTCTTGAGACTGTTCTTATCTGCGTGTGAGCAATTTAAATTTTGGTTAAGGGACACAAACTTGATGGTGGTCCAAATTATAAACACAGAGAGAGCCTATGGACCTACATATAATTGATTACCTTTTTATTGATGGTCCAAATAACGCCTTCGGTGCAAGGAGGAACGGTGAGTGAGCCCATGTATCTGTAATAGCTTTTCCCAGGGATTTTAATTTTGTTAGGGTCAATTATTCCCACACTTCTCTCTTCCTTTTGATCAGTCATGGATTTTATATCCCTTGTCAACTGCCATATCCATTCACAACTTGCAACATGTTAGGAGAATGGTTCTTTTTGTAACATGTAGGAGAGGTCAAGTAATTAATTATGAATGTATGGCTAAACTTCTCTTGTTATACAGTCTGACATGAAAACAATTTCCATGAGTTAACGAGAAGAACATTTGATTTCGAACGAGTACCTTAGAGAGGAAGGAATCTGGGCGGCCGATCTTGAATAGCGCTGCGACGACAGCGATCTTATTCGTAACGTTGGGATCGGGGCTTAGATGAACCATGTGGAGCTCCATGTCATACCTCCTTCCATTGATGGAATGCTCGGAAGGGGAGTGCCAGTGGCATTGTTTTAGCAAATACTCAGTCCCATTTATCTTAAGGGATCCAGCATCGCCCACCCATTCAATCTGCAAACACCACATATGATAATTAAACCACAACTATAAACTATTTCAAACATATATTCTTACATTATGAAATAATTCTATATTAAATTAAAAAATTATTGTAAAATTACCGAAATATCATGGCCTCTGTTCTTGACAGTGGCATTGCAAGGCTTGTAAGCGGTGTTGAGCTTGCCCAAGTTGGGGATTAGCTTGACTCTCTGGCTTGATAAATCAATAGGGGATTGCATGCCTCCATTCTTACACGCAGCCCATTCTTTCTTCATTTCTCCCCACTGCTTTGGCCCCTTCCCGCTTCCCTGAAGATAATCGAACTCTCTTTCATCCTCTGCATAATGCAAACACAACATATACGTCCGTTCAGTAATTTTTTTTAGTCGCTTTCAATCTATTTCTTTGTGTAAAATAAGGGAAACAAAAGGAAAATAAGAGCATCTAATTAAGTTCATTATGCTTACCAACTTCTTGGGCAGTGACCGGTGTGGAATATTGTGAGAATAAAACTAGCAAGAGGAGCACAGAAAAAATGGAGATGGGTTTGCTTTGATGTGGCTTCATGTTTAAGCACAGTGGCTGGCAGGTGAGACTTGAGAGCTACAGATTTATGCTGACAGATTGGTTTTTTTTATAAACACATGAGGATATATAAACATATCTACATATATATATATATATATATGAATTAGTAGAAAAATGGAACACAAATTTCAAGCGTACACAGTGACGAAACGATGAAGTTTCGTACCGGTTTCTGTGAAGGAGTGTGAACGGGAGACTGGAGATGATATAAAGAAGGACCAAAAGACAAGACAGATGGAAATTTGTTGGCATGCACAGTGCACTAGGAGGAAGACATGATTATTTGCTACTAAGCTAAAGAGAACACGTGCATTATTTTATTTCCCACCCAATCAGGAAAAACGAGTAAAAAGCACACACACAGGAAGACAGACAGGTCATTCTGACTCAATTACAATGAATTATGTTGGCAAAAAAACACATTTATAATGACTTTAATTACAGTTTTTATTTATTTAAAGTTTTTGTTTATTAGTTGCAAATGGTAGGTAGGGCGGAGGAAAAACGTTCAATCATGCCAAATTAAACTAATCATGATTTGGTTCATTTTTTTCACTAATTGATCAAAACAATGACCCGCAATAGTTTGATCTACGCGGTATAATGACCTAAAACAAATCGCAACATATGAGTTTTATACTTGACACTTTCTTTTTGGTTCGACCATTTATTATTAAAATATTTCACCCTACATGATGATATCTACTATTTTCATAAAAACTAGTAAAACTCTTTGAATTTTATGTTATCTACCTCTCAAAATTTCTCCCTTAAAATATCTTAAAGTGTCTTGATTTGCGTTCAAGTGGTATGAGATTCGAACTCTCACGTTATCTTAGTAAGAAACCTCTCATCCCTTTGTTTAGACCATCACTTGTATTTAAAAATAATAAAAAATGTTATGAACTGCTATTCAACTTTAGGTACGAATTTCACTTAGATATATGTAAGCAAATAAATAATATACTTGATTGTTTATGAAGGGAAATAACCAAACAAATGTTAGTTGGGGAGTTGGGACAAATGGACAGGAACAAAAGGCCTTGTCAAGGTGCCGTGGCATGATATAATTGTATGGGCTTGTACCCAATATGCGCACATATGTCATCCTAGTTGTCACGGACAGGCTAACAATGTTGACTTCGCTTTTGAGTACGGATTGTGAAATTGCACATGGAGCATATCTTAATTCGCAGAGGGTGACGAAACTTTGAATCCTTGGATATCATATCTCGAGTCGGAAACTTTACAAAATAAATTACAGTATATAGAGGAACTAAATTACTAATAATATCGAAGTTTTTTATAAATAAAATTCCGCACCTATTAGACTACAAGTATATAAATTAAAGACAATATCAATGTTGGTAATAGTAGGTTGTTAGTGCGTCTCTTTGAAATATTAACATCTTTCAGCTTTCATATTTGAAAATTGATGTGAAAATTTATGATTTTTGAAAATGAAATTTTGTTTATCATTCTATTCCTTCTTAATGCTATTCTTTATCCTCTTCTTTTTGGGGCTTTTCTATATGAATATCAATTTTCATACATAGTCGTTTTTAAATGGACATTTTGAAAAAGGCCAAAAGAGAGATAAATATTTTGGTAAGAAGCCAAAATTGACAAAAATGCCCTTATTTATTTTTGGATTTCCTAAGGAATCCAATATATTTGCATATCTTTGGTTTGAAAGTTGAGGGGGTTTTCTATCTTTTTTGGAAAAGTTTTGTATTTTTCTAAAAGTGAAAGTTTTTTTGTGGCTAAAACCTAAATTTACTTTTTAAATATGAGACGTGTGTAGGTGGATCCATAAAGGAAATCAGTTTACACGTTTTCCTGGTAGTTAGCAACCTATAAATAGAAAGATCCCCCAAACTTCTGACAATAAAAAGTGAAAAATACAAAGCAGAAAGCTCCACCAATCTATGAGCTCCTGACTCTTGTTGAGGCAAAACGAAAAATACAATACACAGACAATGAGCTATAGACCTGGCAATATCATATACAACTTGTTAAGATGACACGAATTAGCAAAAAAAATTCAGTATTCAGGTCCGAGGTATCAGGTCGTGTTGCTATCGTATTGACCTGTTAGCCACCTAATAAGCTATCGTGTCGTGTCAATTCATGAATACCTGTTAACGCGTTAAGCTCAAGGGCATTTTTGTAAATTTTCTCTTCTTCTCTTTCTTCTCTTTCGTCTCTTCCTCCTTCATTCCCCCGATTATCTCTCTCTCTCTCTCTCTCTCTCTCTCTCTCTCTCTCTCTCTCTCTCTCTCGGTTCCTTGGTCTGCTAGGAGATCATCAAATCATGGAAGACATTACTGCTAGCGAATCCCACGATTGAGATGTTGAAGTCAGAGTCACTCAAGTTTTCTTCTTTGAGGTATGAATTCATCGTTTGTCTTCAATGACTCTGAATTTGAGTTTTTTATATATAAAAATAGCCCAAATTTACCCTCGCCCCTATTTTAAAAAATGTCAGTTTTCATAAAATCTTTCAAAAATAGCCAAAATTGACCTAAATAGACCCGAATGCCTAAAAAATTAAAACCCACATAAACTTAAAAAGTTTCATCCTCTCTCATTGAGTCCAGTCCCACGTTGCCCAATTGGCTGTTTTTGCATTGGTTTCATCTCAATTACTAAATTCCTGTCCAAAGTTGTTGGATTTCATCCAGATAGTGCCCATAGAATATGAAACTGTCATGGATAGTTTTTTTGATTCCTTAATGAATTCATCTCATGTGTTTAACAGGTGAAGAATCTCTCATCTTGTATTGAACACGATGCCAGTACCTCCAAAATTTGTGAAGACCACCTATTTTACTTTCAGAAAAGGGGAATCGACTATGAGAAAGCCATGGCCGCTATTTTACTTTCATCATCTTCAAAAGTTTACATCATAAAGTTTAAGAAAATTATAAAATTAAATACTCATCCATTGTTCATTCTAATTCATAAATTTAAATAGTAAAATATTACACCCTATCTACGAGGTAGGATAAAATGCAATCAGATTCTTGTAAGTTTGTCAATAATGGCCAGTTGAACCACATCTTGAACAGTTACGAGTTGATGGTTCTTCTATGAGTGATGGGATTCTTTTTTCCTTGCGTCTGCCATACCTTTTTCATGTAATTGGTGGAGGACAATTCTATCTCATATGTCATTAGGTACCACCCAATCTGTCTGATCCCTAACTGGCCAAATAGGTTCTGCATACGAAATGACCAATGAGTTTGTAGTATAATATTGTGAACACATTGGGTAACGCGAAATTTGTTGATGCCTACATGCAGCAAAGCATGTGTTAGAACCAATTTTTGGTATATTGGCAATTAACTGTTACAAAAACATAGAGTACGTCTTTGAGTGTAACCTATAGTTTTCAAGTGACATTCTACTATCCTGGATCAATGTGGCTTAGAGACAATGCCAAGGTATGTTTTGCATCCATGCATTCATATTTGCATATTTGCTTGATCATCAAAAGTGGCTGTCAGATGTACATGACTGATATATGATTTCAGTCTTACATAATCCAATGTCAGACATCAGTGAGTTTTTAACGATGGTTTTATATTCTTTAGTTTGGTGCTTTTTTAAGCAAAAAGGTACTTTTGTCTTTATGGCTGGGTTTTTAATTAAGTGACTTTATTTGTTTTAAAGAAATAATTTATTTGTTAAAAAGCCCATTTTTGCTAAAAGCCTTTTTTGGTCTCTGACCTAGTTTTAAGGGTGTAATACAAGAAATGAACTTAGCCGTTTTGTTTTGTGTGTCTGCAACGTTGAAAAGAAAAAGAACGACAAAATATTTGCAGAGAGGTTTTTGAGAGTTTATATTGAAAACTCATGTGGCTGTTCCTTGTTAGCCTCCATGAGTGATTAAATCATCATCTTTTCATATATGTGTGAGTTCATGAGCATTATGCATGTTGGTGATCAACAATCATGCCTTAAGGTGTGAGCAGTCGAGACCAGAGTTGTGCCATCTCTTGTTGACGAAGGAAGACAAGATTGTTGGTTGGGTCGAGTAGCAAAGGCGAGTAGGCAAGTCTGCCTTGTGAGCGTTCGTCTTGTGAGTTGAGACTTGTAAGACTTTTTTGTATTCTTTCTCATAGTGATTTGTTCTCTGGCATAGTGCTCGCAGTTGTTTTCCTCATCTTGAGGTTTTTTACTTCGTCAACATATCATGTGTCCCTTGTGCAATTATTTGCGTTATTATTTGAATTTATTCTGCTGCGTATTCTGGAATTTTTGCTTACAAGATTGTTACAGTATTTCAATCCTACTATGGTGTTTGAGTATTAAGAAACAAATCAATTGGCCGTTCTAGGGAATTTCAATTGGTATCAGAAGGGGTCACTAGACGTGCTTAGTGAGATCGTTGGGTTGTTCTAGAGTGGATCGTGCATGTGGGTATGTGACTCATCCTCCGTTTCTTGATGAGAATACTAACTATGGGGCTTGGAAAGCCAATATGAAGTCTTTTCTTTGGGCTCAAGGTACGAAGGTGTGCAACCATTGAGAATGGTTGGGAACCTCCAACAAAGGAAATTAAAGGAAGTGGAAAAGAGGTTGAAGGTGAAGGCCAGTTGACAACAAAGGTTGTAATTAAGGCAAACACGGAGTGGATTGATGAAGAAAATGATATGAGCGCCTACAATCAAAAGGGTCTCAACTCCATCTTCACTGCTGTATCAGCTGAAAATTTTGAGTTTATATGTCATTGCAAAACCTCAAAGGAGGCTTGGGATATTCTGGAAATTACTCATGAAGGAAATGCCACTGTCAGAGAATCCAAACTTCAACAACTGAGTTTTATGCTAGATTGAGTGTGGTGGTGAATGCTTGCAGCAACCTTGGTGATGCAATTCCTGAACATAGAATAGTGAAAAAGATTTTGAGATCTTTGCCTATGATGTATCACACCAAGAAGACAGTGATTGAAGAGTGTAAGAATTTGAACAATTATAAACTTACTGAGTTAATTGGTTCTCTTACCACTTATGAGATGGAATTTCCAGAAATAAAGAAAAACAAAGGGATTGCACTAAATGCAGTGAAAGAAGATGGGAGTGACAATGTGTTCGAAGACAAATGTATTATGCTTTTCTTACAAAACAATTTCGTAAGTTTTTAAAATCTAAGAATTCAAGACCTGCTGAACAAAGAGGAAATTCAGGTTGAAGTACAAGAGGGAGTCGTCCTCGTGAGTTTACTTCTAACAAGTTATCGCATACAACCAGAACTATGTAGAAAAAGGGCTCTAAAGATTCACCAAAGTGCTTTGAATGTGGTGGATATGGACACTTTGCCTCTGAATGTGCAAACAATTTGAAGAAGAAAAATAGTGGGGAAAATAAAGTAATAGCTGCAACTTGGAGTGATAATGAGTCTGATAATGTTCAAATTCGGAAATGAAGATCAAGTTGTTGCTTTCTCTGGAAGAATTCATGTGCAAAAAGATGAAAATTCCGATGTTGAAGAACCTGATATAGAAGTGGTGATGAAGCAATTCAACAATCTCTATGATTCCTCTGAAAAATTGAAGAAGAAAAATGCAGAACTTGCTGATCAAGTGGTTTTTCTTCAGGAAGAACTGACCAGGATTGAAACTGCGTTTCAATCCCAGCTGAAAACAAAAGAAAATCTACGTGGGTCTCTGTTGGAAAAAATTCAAAGGCTCCAAGACAAGTACCATATGCAGAAAGATATGAATGTTTCTCTTACTCTCGAAAGGGATCATGCTAGTGCTGAATTAAAATTAGCAACGGAAAAATATTTGGTATGACCATTGGCTCGGAGAAGATTGACAGGATGTTGAGTTTGGGAAAAAAAGGCCGGTGATATGAGAGGCTTGGGTTTTGAAAGTGAAAGTTCTAAGCAAGAGGCTCAAGTTGTAAAATTCATCAAAGAATCTTCTTCTATTGAAGTGAAGGTTAACCCAAAGAAATTTATACCAATCTGTCATTTTTGTGGAGTTTTAGGTCACATACAGCCTAGATGCAATATGCTTAGAAAGAAGAAGAGGTCAGCTTACTGTTATTCTCCAATAAATTTTAATCCATCTCAAAGAACCAAACTAGTGTGGAGAAAAAAGAGGAAAAATGCTTGGTGACTTTAATGGATTTATTTGCTAGAAAATCTGATACATGGTATTTCGACAGTGGTTGTTCAAGACATATGTCTGGTGATAAATGTTGGTTTACAAATCTGAATGCAGAGTGTATGGAAGGCTCAGTGACATTTGGAGATGGAAGTAAAGGTAAAATTTTAGGGAAAGGAGATGTTAAGACACTTGGCTTACCGTTCTTAAAGAATGTCATGCTGGTGGAAAATTTGCAAGCAAATTTGATAAGCATTAGTCAACTTTGTGATGATGGTAGCAGTGTGTGGTTTGATAAAGATCAATGCTATGTTGCTGATTTGCAAGGAAAGAAGGTTATGAGGAGCATGAGATCCAAGGATAATTGTTATTCTATTCAGGTGAATGAGAACAAAAGTCTTGTGTGCAATCGAGCTAATGATGACGTGATGGAACTATGGCACAGAAGACTTGGTCATATCAACTTTCGTGATCTCTTGAAGTTGTCCAAGAAGGAGTGTGTCAGAGGTCTGCCAAAGCTAAGTGGTAAGTCTGCAGGAGTGTGTGGTGCGTGCCAATTAGGTAAGCAAGTCAAGAGTGCTCACAAAAGCATATCCTACATATCAACATCCCAGCCATTAGATTTGCTGCATATGGATTTAGTTGGTCCTGTTCAGATCGAGAGCATAGGTGGAAAGAAGTATGTGTTGGTGTTGGTGGATGACTTTACTAGGTTTACTTAGGTTGATTTTCATCGTGAAAATCTTATGCATTCAAGAGTTTTCGTGGCCTATGCAACAAAATTCAAATCGAGAAAAATGCTTCACATGTCACTGTCATGAGACTTCGAACAGACCATGGAACGGAGTTTGAAAATGTAAGCTTTGCTGAATATTGTGAAGAGAAAGGAATAAAGCATGAATTTTAACACCTCAACATAATGGGGTGGTTGAGAGGAAGAATCGCACCTTGCTTGAAATGGGACTTGTGATCTTGACAAGTGCTAAGATAGCGAAGAAATTTTGGGCAGAAGCTATTAGCACAACATGTTATACAGCAAATCGTGTATATCTTAGACCGGGCACAACTTCAACTCCTTATGAGCTTCGGAAAGGGAGAAAACCTAACATAAAGCACATGAGGGTTTTTGGCAGCATCTGCTATATTTATAGAGATAGAGAAAACCTAGATACAAGAAGTGATGCTGGCATCTTTTTGGGTTATTCTCTCACTAGCAGGGCTTATAAGGTGTTTAACAATAGGACATGTACAGTAATGGAATCAATTAGTGTTGTTGTCAATGATACTGATATGTCATTTGGTTCTTGTGCAGATGATGATGATATTATTCCAGCAGCTCCTAGGCAAGAAGAAAAGGACAAATGGCTAACATTAATGTTGAAGTGCATGTAGAAGAAGATATGTTTTCACCTCCTCCTAGACCTAGTGCTTGGCAAGTCCAAAAAGACGACACACTATATGATATTATTGGAGATTTAAATGATCAAAGAAAGATAAGAAGCCAAGTCGTTGCAGAGGTAACTCATCTGTGCTATGTTTCCAAATTGGAACCGAAAAATTCAAAAGAAGCACTCCTTGACTGTGATTGGATCATGGCTATGCAAGAAGAGTAAGACCAATTCACTAGAAATGATGTGTGGTACTTGGTTCCACGTCCCAAGGACTCGAATGTGATAGGTACAAAATGGGTTTTCAAAAACAAAACTGATGAAAATGGTGTTATTACAAGAAATAAAGCAAGGTTGGTTGCACAAGGATATACCCAGGTTGAAGGGTTAGACTTCGATGAAACTTTCGCTCCCGTGGCAAGGCTTGAATCAGTTAGATTACTTTTAGCTATAGCTTGTCATCTGAGGTTCAAACTACACCAGATGGATGTGAAAAGTACGTTCCTAAATGGGGTTTTACAGGAGGAAGTATATGTAGAACAACCTATAGGATTCAAATATCCTTACAATCCTGATAATGTATATCATCTTAGAAAAGCTCTCTATGGGCTGAAGCAAGCCCCTAGGGCTTGGTATGATTTGTTGTCATCCTATTTGCTGAATAAATGGTATGTCAGAGGAGCTATTGACAAAACTTTGTTTGTCAAAAAGACCAACAAGGACTTGATTGTTGCCCAGGTTCATGTCGACAACATTGTTTTTGGGTCTACATATGAATTTCTTGTAAAAGAATTTACTGAAGTTATGAGCAGCGAATTTGAGATTAGTATGTATGGGGAGCTGAGCTATTTCCTAGGCCTGCAAGTCAAGCAACAAGATCATGGTATCTTCATTTCTCAAACGAAGTATGCAAATGACTTGGTAAAGAAGTTTGGTATGAGTTCTGCCAAACCAACAACGAATCCCATGGCTACACACAACAAAATTGATGCTGACCCATCTGGAAAATGTGTAGAGCAAACACTTTACAGAAGCATGATTGGAAGCCTTTTATATTTAACAGCCAGTCGACCCGACATCTCATTCAGTGTTGGTGTGTGCGCTCACTTTCAAGCACATCAAAAGGAGTCGCACTTGAATGCAGTCAAGAGGATCATCAGATATGTAAGTGGTACTCCAACGTTAGGTTTATATTATTCATTTGACTCAAATTTTGAAATTACAGGTTACACCGATGCGGATTGGGCAGGAAACGTTGATGATAGGAAGAGCACATCTGGAGGGTGCTTTTATGTAGGTAATAATCTTATGTCTTGGCATAGCAAAAAGCAAGCTTGTGTTTCCTTCTTGTTTACAGCCGAAGCGGAATACATCGCTGTCGGAAGTTGTTGCACACAATTACTATGGATGAAGCAAATGATGAGTGATTATGGCATTCAGCAAGGTACTTCAACTCTTTTTTGTGATAATCTGAGTGCAATAAATATTTCCAAAATCCGGTTCAACACTCACGAACAAAATACATAGATATTAGGCATCATTTTATTCGTGAATTGGTTGAAGAAAAGGTGGTAAGTCTTGAGTTTGTTTGCACAGAAAAATAATTGGCTTATTTGTTTACAAAACCATTAGACACTGTTTGTTTTGAAACTCTCACGAAGTCTCTTGGTATTTGTTCCATTGAATGAACTCCCTCTAATTTTTTTGCATTCAAATTTCATTGTTGTATGCCCATGTCGAATAGGTTTATCAGTTTCTAGTATTTTTTTTTCCGTTTTATTTTTGTAGCTTTGTAGTACATCATTGCACCGCATTTTCAATCCCATTGTTATAAGCTTGTATTTCTTTGAACTGAGATTGGATTTTCTAGTCAGAATGAGGGACTAATCGTGAGACACATGCTCTTAGTTGATAGACATTTTTCTATGTTAGTCTCTAGCATTAATCCTTGCTTAGCCAAAATTCTCACAGTCTTTCCTTGGTTCTTGCACATGCACACCAATATAAGCTATATGAATGCCTATGTTGCAAGATTTCAACTTAAACAACAATGTTAGATATCTTTGGAGCTTGACTCAGGTTATCCCAAAGTAGCCGGACCTCTTACCTAACTAGTGTCAAGGGTCGTGTCGAATACGGGATGGCTTGGTCCATATTAAAAAAATATAAAAAATTAGTGTCACAACTTTGAAGCCTTTTGACTCGAGTTGCTAAGCCCATGGAGTATCCTTGATATACTTAGTGCCCTAAAGTCTTCTGGCTTGGGAGTATCTAGCCTAAGATTTGTTACAGGTCACTAGAAAGCTTAATAAAGTGTGAAAAAAAAAAAAAAAAAAAAAAAAATATATACAATTGTGTTGAATTAAACTTGTATGCATTGTCATTCTTATCTCTATTGGTTCACTTTCACACCAAAGACTCCTGTGAGCTTTTGCGAACCTTGATTATACGGTGTTGCCTAACATGGAGAGATATTTAACAACACTTGATGTTGTGGGTTCTCCTTGTTACTCTTCAATTTTGACTTGATATCTCCTTACACGCTTTGCTTAGAAATCTCGTTTGTGACACTAGTTTAAAAAATTCATCTTGTGTGCCTATTTGCTCATTCATCATTACATGTGTCTTTTCATACATTCATGGGAGAATTCATAATTTGGAACTTTTGCCTGCATTGTTCTTTCTGGGAGTGCTTATTTGATGTGCAAGTGGTTATTTATTTGAGGGGGAGTTTGCCATTGCCTATCCAAAAAAGGGGGAGTAAACATTCTGAGTTTCATTTTACTTATTGTATTTTCAGTAATACATGCTTTTCACTGGTTATTTTTGGTTTAGTGGTGCAGAATTCAGGTTACCTTTTCTATTGCAAGTGGTCATGTTTGAGGAATTCTTTTCATTCACTTGTAATTGGTTTAGGGGGAGATTGTTAGGACCAATTTTTGTAACTAGATTTTTTGTATAGGAAATGCCAAAGGGGGAGATTGTTAGAACCAATTTTTGGTATATTGGCAATTTCCTATTACAAAAACATAGAGTAGGTCTTTGAGTGTAACCTACAGTTTTCAAGTGACATTCTACTATCTTGGATCAATGTGGCTCAGAGACAATGCCAAGGTATGTTTTGCATCCATGCATTCATATTTGCATATTTGCTTGATCATCAAAAGTGGCTGTTTGATGTACATGACTGATATATGATTTCAGTCTTACATAATCCAATGCCAGAGATCAGTGAGTTTTTAACGATGGTTTTATATTCTTTAGTTTAGTACTTTTTTAAGCAAAATGGTTCTTTTGTCTTTACGGCTGGGTTTTCAATTAAGTGGCTTTATTTGTTTTAAAGAAATAATTTATTTGTTAAAAAGCCCATTTGTGCTAAAAGCCTTTTTTGGTCTCTGACCTAGTTTTAAGGGTGTAATACAAGAAAGGAACTTAGCCGTTTTGTTTTGTGTGTCTGCAACATTGAAAAGAAAAAGAACGACAAAATATTTGCAAAGAGGTTTTTGAGAGTTTATATTGAAAACTCATGTGGATGTTCCTTGTTAGTCTTCATGAGTGATTAAATCATCATCTTTTCATATATGTGTGAGTTCATGAGCATTATGCATGTTGGTGATCAGCAATCGTGCCTTGAGGTGTGAGCAGCTGAGACAAGAGTTGTGCCATCTCTTGTTGACGAAGGAAGACAAGATCGCTGGTTGGGTTGAGCAGCAAAGGCGAGTAGGCAAGTCTGCCTTGTGAGCGTTCGTCTTGTGAGTTGAGACTTGTAAGACCTTTTTGTATTCTTTCTCATAGTGATTTGTTCTCTGGCATAGTGCTCGCAGTTGTTTTCCTCATCTTGAGGTTTTTTACTTCGTCAACATATCATGTGTCCCTTGTGCAATTGTTTGCGTTTTTATTTGAATTTATTATGCTGTATATTCTGGAATTTTTGCTTACAGGATTGTTACAGTATTTCAATCCTATTGTGGTGTTTGAGTATTAAGAAACAGATCAGTTGGCCATTATGAGGAATTTCAGCATGTGCACATGGTAGTTGGTCAAGATCAAACTCTCGGCATGTGCAACAGTTCCTCTCTAAATTTACAACTTCAACACGACATCCATCGTATACATGAAATGAGTAAGCCTCAATGGAAAAAAACCCGCATATTCAAGAAACAAGAAATAAATTTATAGTACTCCACAATTATTTTATTTGAAATATTTTCAAAAGATCTGTGGAATATTATCATGCATATATTCCTTAGATAAAAGAACAAATAAAAAAAATCAGCAAAAACTACAAAAGAAAATGTTTGCCCACTTTATCAAATGTTTGTATACATTCCTTACTTGCAACAAAATAAAATGTAATGAATTTGACATACCTACAATGACAACTCTTTCTTGTTATTTTCTCACACCAAATTGTTTGCCCACTTTGACAATGTAACATGTTTGATAAAATATATTTCCTTCATTGATAACAATGAAATTGCCCCGTTTCCATTAATTTCTATACATGAAATGAAATTGCCTAATAATATATTTTCTATAAATTCTCTTTGAACATGGTTGCCAAGAAGCAAAACGTTCAAATATATAACAAAATCCTTAACAAAGGCTGATGAGGACAGAATAAGACTGAAGGGCAATTGGCGTGATGTTTGACACATGGAGTGAGAGATGAGATGAGATCGTGTGATGTCAAATGTTGAAGTTAAGTGGCGAAGTTGCAAAGAGCGAGCTAATACCACAATTTGTCAGAATAGCAAATATAAACACAATTTGGCCACCCCCCAAAACACAATTTGGCCAACAGAACAAAGATGGAAGAAGAGAGAGAAAGAAAAGCAAACTTGGGATTACGGATCGGTAAGTTGAATTAGGGAGTGTTGGAATTGCTTCAAATTCCCATAAAATAAAGCAAGATATTCCTCCCACGCCCTCTACAAGAAACCCATAACTCATGCTACACCATCAAAACACACCTATACTGATGAATATTTCAATTTCTTGTTCCTACCAAGCCAAAGAAACGAAGAAACAATTAAAAGAAAGAAGCAAACGGCACGAATAAGCACAAAATATGCAGAAAGAAAAAGAATAACATCACTCACCAGTAGTTCGACCAAGGCTACAGACGTGTTGCAATTCCAAACTTTGTGTAGTAGGGTTTTGCTTTTTAGGTTTATGTGGGTTTTAATTTTTAAGGGTATTTGTGTCTATTTAGGTGAATTTTTGACTATATTTGAAAGATTTTATAAAAACTAACATTTTTTAAAGTGGGGGGTAAAACCTTAAATGATTGAGATGATGAAGAAATTTGGGGAGCATGAGAGGAGAAGAGATGGCGGTGGTGATGAGGGCATGGACGACTGTGACTTTTGTTTTTGGTTTTTTGTGTTTTTTGCACTGGTTGATTTTTTAATTGTTTAATATTTATGTTTATTTTTTAAATCTTAACGGATTATCGTGTTGTATCGTGTGATTCGCAAATTGTAATGAGTCGTGTTCGTGTTTGATATTTTCCATCCGTTTTCTTAACGGGTCATGTCGTGTCAACCTATTAACAAAAGCGGGTTGATACGAACACGACACGAACACTACAAACACGACATGAATGCCAGGTCTAGTGAGTTGTATTGTAATTTGGATACATATGTCCTTCGTTATGTGCATGTCATGTATATCCAAATCCACGTTTGTACCATGACAAACAAATGGTAGGTAACATAAAGGATAAAGAACAAATCCGAGTCTCTATATTTAGAGTTCACACACATTTAATGGCATTTAGCTTCATCTCCATTGTTACAACGATTCGATCACTTGAAATATGACAAGTTATTACAGCATAAAGTTTAACTTTTTTAATTTTTAATTTTTCTAAACTGACTTTAGTGTTGCCATTTCTTCAAAGCCTCTTTACCCTCCTTGCTATCTTCCTTCTCTAGCCTCTCTCAAGTCCCGCTTCCCATGACTACTACTCAGCATCCTAAATTGAATTTCCTATTTCATACAGTTTCAATCAATCCCCCATAAACATATGTTGAAGCATCTCTTCTCTTCCTCATCATGGCTCTAGGTCCGAATCACCACAAACCTGAGCTCTAACTTTGGACTTCAACTTGGGCCCTCCAAGCTCCTCTCACCGCGACTCCAAGTGCTTGGCTTGCTACTCGGCTTGACTTTGATGCAGCGACAAATCTGATTAGGTGGTAGTACCACCTCTTTTTTTTTTTTTTTTTTTTTTTTTTTTTTTTTTTTTTTTTTTTTTTGGTCGAATGAAGGATTTCATTACCTTAGGAAGTTACAAATAGGGGTGGGCGCGGTCCAATTCAGTCTGATTCTCACCTCAAACCAGAACCAGAACTGTTACTATTTAACTGGTCCGGTTTAGGCAAAAAAATTCAAAAGCTGGCCAATTCGGTTTTGAACCGAATTATTAATTTATTATTTTTTTAATTTTTTTTTAAAAAATATTTATTTTAAAAAAAATTATAATAAATAACTTCTTTTTTTTTGCTTAACAAATAATCCAATTCATACATTTAGAAATTTTTTGAAGTTGTACTTGGAAAAATAGTGATTATAAAATTTAAAATATGGCATTAGATTTTAAAATTTTGTAAAAATTAAAAATATATATATGACCGGTCCGGTTCGGTCTAGTACGGTGCGGTGCAGTGTAAAACTAGAACCGAAATCGGTACGGTCCAGTTTGTTGACTTTTTTGGTCAATCGATTTTTTTTTCCCTTTTTTTTTCACCGGTTCAGTTCGGTGTTCTGGTTTTCCGATCCCGATGCCCACCCCTAGTTACAAACAAGCCCAATACAACAAACAGAACAATAAAACAAAAGCACAACCAAACAAAATAAAAGCCTAACCATAATACACATAATTTAGGCTCAACACCACAAAAAACCCTAAGACACACACAAACCCTAACATCACACCCAAGAACTAAGCAGCCGTCGCTGCCACCCGATTTGTCGTAGCCGCCAGTAGAGGAAGGTCCATGAGAACTGACAAATGAGATCTGAAGAGAGTGGATTTAGGGAAGCAAGCCACCACCGTGCATCAAGCTCAAATGATCCATGGATTGGTCTAAATTGACCATTAAACTACAAAGCTAACTCCTCTGGAGCAAAAGCTCAGATATGAGGATGAGTTGTAGGAGATGAACAGCAGTAACAAACTAGGAGACAACCGTGCAGATCCTAGGGGAAAGGAGGGGTTTAGGGTTAAAGAGTTCGTGGGAAGGGAAGAGAAATGGGCTGAAGGGGGATGGGTGGATGAGAGGAGAAGAGGGAGAGAGAGGTGAAATGGCTGTCGAGAAGTGGGAGAGAAGAGATTGAGGAGATCTGGGCCAACAGTAAGAAAAACAAAGTAGAAAAAGCATACCAAAATAAATGACAGAAAAGGAAAGTAAAAGCCACACTAGAGGGTGGCAGAGAAGCCACACCAGAGGGTGACGGAGAAGCCACCTCGAAGGTTGGCAGCACTGCCAGAAGCTAAGAAGATGAAGATGGGAAAGAGAGAAATTTAGAGAGAAGCGGAACCTCTCTCTCTAAAGTTCTCTTCTCTCTAAAGTTCTCTGTGAAAAAGCATTCAATGCAAGGTAGGTAGTAGAGCTTGGGTTGAAGAATGCAGATGGAAGGCGAGGCCAGGTCGAAGTCTTTGTCACAAACATTGCCCATAAATTCAATTATGAAATTGTTGCATAAAATTCCAAGTTGAAAAGTATCCATGAAATTCAATATATTATTTAGGATTTTGATTTGGGTTTCATATTTGAGTAGTAGAGATTGTTGGGAAGTGGTGTGAAATGGCAGGGAAGAGAGAGAGGAAAGGTTGGAGGGGAGCACGAGACAGAGAGTTAACAACACGACTAATGTTAGTTTAGGAAAATAAAAAACTAAATTTTACCATATATATTTTTTTTTTTGTCATTCATTAGAGAGGGCAAGGGGAATATTATATTCGTTTGCCTTGTCTCCTACATAAATCGAACCCGAATGCACTTCGGAAGTAGTCAGGATCATTCTATCGACAACAAGGACTTTTGAATTTAATTGGTTGATAGTAAGAGCAACTCCACCCATATTGCCCTTAGCCATGGCAAGGGGGGAGCTAGGGCAGCCACTATTCACGTGAATAGTGGTTGCCCTTGCAAAATCAGAATTTTGTGTTTCCACCCATTGCCCTAGCTAAGGGCAGTTACTATTCATTTTTTTGTTTTATTCACAATTTTATTTACCTTAATAATTAATGTGGATAATATTTTCGGATAAGATTTACGGGTTCCTACGTGTCAAGACTATTCATAATCAGATAAAATTTCGGGATAAGATTTTTTGGTTCAAATTTCGGATGAATTTCAAAATTCAAATTTCAGATAAATTTTTGGGTTCAAATTTCGAATGAATTTCAAAATTCAAATTTCGGATGAATTTCAAAAAGCAAATTTCAGATACATTTGGGTTCAAATTTCGGATGAATTTCAAAATTCAAATTTCAGATAAAATTGGGTTCAAATTTCGGATGAATTTCAAATTTCAGATAAGATTTTCATCCAATGAAATCAAGCCACGTGGCATCTTTATCTTGCCAAATTTTTCTATAAAACCAAAGGCTCACCTCATACCTCTCACACCACATCTTTCAATATTTTCATTTCTTAGAGTTTAGCATTCATACTCCATTCATTCTCAATGGAAGAATATAGGAGATGCTTGGAGAGGCATGAGAGAGAAAGAAAGGAGAGAAACCGTAGAGCCGATGAAATCAATGAGTTGCAGAGGCAAGTTGATGAACAAGTTCTCATAGCAGTGGCAATGGAAGAGGAAGAGAACCAAGGTCGCCGCCGTGGTTCACAAGTCGGCCGTCGCCGGAATGTGGACAGACATAGGCATTCTCGGGGTAAGAATCTTTTGGAAGATTATTTTATCCCAACTGCTTTGTACAATGATGTTGATTTTCGAAGGCGATTTAGAATGCAACCCCACTTGTTCAATAAAATCATGCATGATATTTGCAATTATGATGCATATTTTGTTCAAAAGTGTGATGCTATTGGGGTTTTGGGCCTTCTGCCGGAGCAAAAGCTTACAGCTGTTATACGCATGTTGGCTTATGGAGCATCTGCTGATCAGGTGGATGAGGTTGCCCGAATGGGGAAGTCCACTACGTTGGAGGCTTTGGTAAGATTTTGTGATGTAGTTGAAAACCTGTACACTAGGGACTACCTGCGTAGACCTACTCCCAGGGACCTCCAACGGCTTCTACAAAAAGCCGAAGCTCGAGGATTTCCAGGAATGATTGGTAGCATCGACTGCATGCATTGGCAATGGAAGAATTGCCCAACTGCCTGGCAAGGTGATTACGGAAATAGGAAAGGCACAAGGGACAATGACAAACTTGGAGCCAAACCTCACACAAAGAAACATCTTCCATGGTGCTCCACGCCCCTCCGGTTTCAATAGAAGAAGCCATAAAAATAATAACTAAAATTACAAGGTGAAAGAGATGAAAATATTGAGTGAAGAGTGAAGAAAATGTTGAGTGAAGAGTGAAAAATATGTTGAGTAATTGTAGAAGTAGAATAAAATGTATGAGAATTGGTGTTGAAAGTGAAGGGTATTTATAGGAAAAAAAATCAGAATTTTTTAGGATTTTTTAGTATTTTTTTTAAAAAAATTTCGATTTTTTTTCATAATTTTGTTGTCCAAAAATCGCCAGCCGTTGGATTAAAATTTGGAATCAAATCGGAGCGCTGGGGGACTGCCACGTGGCTTCCACCCGTTGTGGCTGGCGTCGCGCTGACGTCGCACGCGGGTTCAAATTTTTTTAACGTTGGCGCGTGCATTGCACGCGCCAACGTTAAAAAAATTTGAATAACGCGTGACGACGTCAGCCTGACGTCGTCATGACGTCACCTCCACCGAGTTTTGGACCTGGGGCGAAAGTTGCCTTCGGGCCAGCCCGGGTAGGTGGGTCCCACACCCCCCCCGGGCCTGGGCTTCGCCGCTGGAACCATTTTTTTGGCTTTTTCCCCCCTCCCCTCGGGCTGGGCTCCATGGTTGGAATGGCTCTAAGTGTCTAAACATTAGGCACTTTACTTTCTGGAACCTTCCTTTGTGCCTCACTTTATCATTTTTTGTGAACTTAGTCCACAAAACTATTAACTTGCTAATGTAATGTGGGCAATTTAGTAATATTAGCTATAAAAAAAATTCAAATCCAAATTAAATATTTAAAGCATATTTAAAATTAAAAAGCTGAGACAAAAACCAAAGGGAAGTTGAGAAGTTTCTCAACAGGAAAAATGGGGAAGTAGCCGGTGAGGATGAGGTTAGTGGTGTACATGTCATCGTTTCAGATGGTGATATATATGGTCTTTTGAAAGATCTTCCAACGCATATCCATCACAAGATCTCCGACAACTGCACTAGCGCCACCCTCTTCCTTCTAGATACCATGTTGGCCTAGTTCATTTGAACTCGTGGCACTAATTATTTGGGCTGGGTCGAACTGATCTATTTAATTAACTGGACCATGTCGTGCTGGCTCATTTATTAAAATCATTGATCTTGGCCCAGGGTAAAGCCCAAATTCACATTGAAACGGGCCGTGCTCATGCTAGCCCATTTATCAAAACCATTGATCTCAGCTCGGCGCAAAGTCCAAGAGTTTATGATTAAAACCAAAGTAATACCATGACAACACATAAAGGTTTCTTAAGTACACATGATGGACCCTAGGACTATCCCGGGGAGGTTATTGAAAACCATACATCAAACAAGACATAAAGGTTGCTTAAATACACATGCTCGACCCTAGGACTATCCCGAGGAGGTTATTGAAAACCAAAAATAAGCAAAATGGAAATAAACGAAAGTCCAAATTTAATTAAAATAGTAATTGCTATTTTCCAAAGCCCAAACATCCTCAAATGCCCAAAATCCACCATAGGTCACAACAAAGCTGTGAGTTAGACTCGTGGAGCTATTTCTTTACGGAAAGGTTTCATGTGCTCCATTCAGAGCCCGAACGCCAAATCTGCAAATTTCAGCTACATCCCTTTTTCATTCTTCGGTCTATTTTTTCTTCAATCCATTCCGCCATTTGTTCTCCATTCCGCCATTTTTTCTTCATATCGATAACATAGGGCATTATCATTTATTCGTTTAAACACCTTGTATGGACCATACTTCTTTGGCTTCAGCTTGCTATACGTACCAGCACTGGCGGATCTACAGAGGCGCAAGGAGGTGAAGCTACACCTCCCCTCACCGGAAAAAGCTTTGAAGTCGCCGGAGTTTGCCTCTCAGCTCTACCTTGGAGGTGCCCACCACCTGTTCGAATAAATGCCTCAGCAGCCCAGCAACCTCCTTTTCTTTGTTGCGATGCTGCGCTGGGCGCAACTTTTGTTTTGTTTTTTAAGTCCTAGCCAAACGACGTTGTTTTGGAAAAAAAAAAAAAAAAAAAAAAAAAAAAAAAAAAATTATTAAAAAAAAAAAAAGAGAAAAACCTAAAGCCTTATTCACTGAACGAAAGAGCGTGTTCTTGGGGTCCAAGTTGGAATTAAATGGACCAAGGGATAGCTTGCGTTGAATGATTCTTCACAAAGCTTTGCATGCTCTTGAGTCTTGTTGTAGATCCATCCCTCTCCTCCAAGTTTGAATGTTTTTTTTTTCATTTTTTTTCTTCTGGTTTTTTTTTTTCCTTCTGTTTTTTATATATTTTATAATATGTATTTTAATATTGTTGTTTATTTTAGAGAGATTATTTTTGGTTTCTGATTTGGTTATCTTTGTATAATCATAAACCCTAAATCCTCTTTCGAATAATTCGGGAATTTCTTTTGGTTTTTAGCATTTTAAATGTTGCCCCTTCCTAGGAAAATTCCTGGATCCGCCGCTGCGTACCAGTAGGGAACCTCTCCTTCCTCAAGAACACCATCACAAAGTCCTGATGTATAACAAATGGCGGAATGGATTGAAAGAGAAATGGATTGAAGAATGGAAAAGGGACGCAATTGGAATTTGCAAATTTGGCGTCCGAAATCCGAATGGAGTGTATGCTACCTTTCCGGAAAGGAAACGGGGCCACAAATAGTCTCAGGGTCGTTTGGGCTTTGGAAAATAGCAAATACTATTTTAATTAAATTGGACTTTTCATTTATTTCCGTTTTGCTGATGTTTGGTTTAAATAACTTCTCCGGGGTAGTCCTAGGGTCGAGCATGTGTATTTAAGCAACCTTTATGTCTTGCTGATGTTTGGTTTTCAATAACGTCCCCGAGGTAGTCTTAGGGTCCATCATGTGTATTTAAGAAACCTTTATGTGTTTTCATGGTATTACTTTTGTTTTAATCATAAACACTTGAGATTTCTCTCAATTCCCTGGTGGATTTCAGACCTTTGTTCCTTCTAAGTTTACGCTTGTAAGCTTTGTTTGCTTGTGCCTCGTCATAATGAATAGACAATAGTCCAACCACCATGTTTTCATCTGTGTCCAAGCTCTCGACTCAAATAAGAATGAAATTTTTTATGTTAATCCCCATTCAAATCATCATATCCTCTACTTATTTTTCAATTTCTTCTATAGGCCTAAAATAAAGTATATTATCAGGAACATATCTTAGATGCCATAACATTGATCCTTCAGTCTTTTTTGCTTTCAAAACATAGTTTATTCTTTATATAGACTTAAACGTTAAAATGATTTCTATAGTTTATTTATTTGGACAATTTAATCCTTGTATTTTCAATGTGGCCAATTTAGTCCCTGTGTTTTATTTCGTGGCCAATTTTATTCATTCTGTCAAATTACCGTTAATAATTCATTAAAATTTTAAAAATAAATAAAAATAATTTTTAATTTCAGTTTACAAATAAAAACTATGAATAAAAAAATTAACATAAAAAATCTGGAAACCTAATAGTGTCCTCCTTCTCTCATGCCGCCGCTACCACCACAACCATCAGTTGTCCTCACCTGGGCTAGGGCCCGATTCTTTGATGGCTCCAAGAGATAACGCATTAAAGAAACCTCCAATTGCTCTACGATAAGTGTTTGTGTGTACTCATGATATTGAAAGGTCGAGCACTTACTGCAATAAATGTGGAGCTGAGCTTAGAAGCGGAAAAAAGAAATTGAAGAACTTGGTTGCCATGTTGGAATTGGACAATTGAAAAACAGAGAGAGAGAGAGAGATAAGAATAGGGTGGTGGCTGGGACTGCTCATGGTGGTTGTAGTGGTGGATTGGGTGGCGGTGACGACATGAGAGAAGACGACAGAGTCTGTTGGGCTTCCAGAATTTTTATTTTTAATTTTTTAATTTATAAACTGAACTTAATAATTTTTTTAATTAATTTTTTTAAACTTTAATTAAAATTTGAGCCAATTAGGAACATAGAGCACGTACGTCATGGATAAGTTGATGAGTCCCGTCATATATGATTACTGCATCTGCTATATATGTACAACAAAACTTGTGCATCTTGATGGGAATTGAAGCATTTATAAAATAATTGCACTTAACAGCCATCATTCTCAGTAAAATTTGCGTAATTACTTTTCTGGCATCTGCAGTCTCTTTGTGAATGGTTTGGTATCTTGCATCGGGTTGATCTTTATGGCACTTTTTGATGCCCGTAATTTTGTAGACAAAACATAGAGGGATTCATCTTCCATTTTGATTAAGGGATTCATCTGGACTGAAGAACTTGCTCCACAGATTGGTCTTTTTTTAAGGTCCTGAAAGTTTAAGTGCAAAAAAATTGAGACATATATTCAAGTCCAGAGAGAAAATAATAATTAAGCCTAAAATAAAAGCAAGTGCTTAATGGCAAAATTCAAATTTACACTAAAATTTGATTTTTTTTTCCCCCGGTAGAAATTAAAAGAGGATTTACCGAGCAAATCTGGGGTTCAAATACATCCATGCCCATCCAAGGATTTTATCTTCACGGGAAATATCCTATTGTTCTAGGCAGATTTGGAGTTAGATGAGTTCTATAGTACAAATAGACATGCATTTAAGAAGTACAAAGTCGTACTCACCCCCCCAAATGCCTATTAAGTTTCTCTTATGTACTGCAGTGTAGTACAAGTTCAACTAGGTGAAGTACTTGGCAGTGCTTATAACAAGCAACCATGAGCAACACTTGTGGCATCACCAATTTCTCCGCAGAAGCCCAAAGGTAGTGGAGCCCCACAGGGGTGACCTGAGATCACATGTATGCAGCAACAGCAGAACCCAAGAGGGCCATCGTTCGGTCCTGCTGTTCTTTGCATTCCACGTGTTCTCAGGTCGCCCCTGCAGGGCTTCCCTCTACCACACAATCGCGCTTATAATTCGGTGAGATAAAACAAGTAGATATAGTCCCTCCCCTCGTGTGGAAGTCTTTCTAAGAACAAATATTGGCCTTGTCTCGAGGTAAATACCTATTCCTTTTTTAATTTTCTTTTCTTCAAAAAAGAAACATGAATTTGGAAGCTATATATATTTTTTAATATTTTTTATTTTCATGATATAGCTTCGATGAAATAGGCTTCTCTTCCCATGTTTTCTTTGGTGATATTGGTAAAGATTATGGTATTGAATACAAGCATATTATGAACACATTTATACTCAACCGAGGTAAATATTTTAATTTCAGCAAAAATAGCTACATTATATATAAATCGTTGCGTAATTAGTAGATTATATATAAATCGTTGCGTAATTAGTAGTAAAATCGAACATATTTGGGGAGAATTTTGTCATAGAAGCCTTCACAGGTTATTTTGTTTTACAGGCTATTATCATAAGGGAAATTCTATTGAGAACCTTCACGTTGTAAACATACAATTTTTTCGCAACTTTGGAAACCCAGCTTTGGCCTCACAAAGACATTTGACAAAAAAAAGCAGCCAAAAAACTAGCTGGCATGGGGGAGGTTCCCTTTTCTTCCCCAGCATACATGCAGGATGAAGCAAACCCTGTTTGAGATTGTGTAAATTATTGTTGAGGCCAAATGTGTTTTTGCTCGTGTCTTTGTTGAAGTACATCTTCGCTTCCCCTATCAAATGATGAACTGGGACGGAGAACATGCCAAGATTTTCCCTCAACTTATATGCAGCTGAGGACCGGAGGAAGCAACATCCCTGGAAGGTCGTGAGATGGGTCTATTCTTTTGGGCTTTTTGATTTTACTGAAGCCCAAATACCTTGTTTTAAGGATCACATGTAAATGGGGCAATGATTGGCTCACATGTAAACAAGAGTTCCAAACCATTGAGTTTAATATTCTTTCTGTTCTCCTATAGAGTTTAAAATTCCATAAAAGAACTCTTGTTTGACAACTCAGACTAGTCATTGTCTGTACATGAATGACATGAGACTAGTCATTGTCATTGTGTACTAGTCTTTACAAATCTTTAATGCCCAATTAGCAATCCTTTAATTGAGGACTATTTTGGATACGAGGATTAGAAGGGAAGATCTCTTGAATTGAACATACTGAATTGTATTTGCTCAGATTGAATTTTTTTAAGTGCTTAATGTGGATTCAATTATATGCATTGAAGACTATGAAATGTTGTACGACACTTAACGTGGATCGTATTAAATAGGATTGATTAAAAATCATTGATTTTAACCCGATGTACAACCTAGGCCACCCACATACACCCTCTTCCTCTAAGTACAATTTTATTTGGATGCCAGTCAACATTTATAAAGTAAATTTGGGATCACTAATTTGTCCTTATGATACGTTACAAAGAAAATTAATCATTCATTCCTCATTTGATAAGCCACAAAACAAACAAAAATCCTGGGAAGACAAGCCGACAACAGTCCATGAAAGTCGCGGAACAAAATGCAAACTACAAGAAGCTTAATAAAAATGTACAACATATACTGTCTACATCCAATCATATATATTTTGATTAAAAGTAAGCCTGCCCGCCTGTAGTTCCACCAAAATGTGTTTTAAATTGGCACATTGCCACTGTAAGGCACTTCTTACAAGAAATCATAGAAAGGTCCTCAGTACATTGAGCAGCGTCATACATCCAATCCAAGGTCCGAGAGACGTGCATCGTAAGTGGTAACTTACCATGGGCATACAACACTGGCTTATTATAAGCTTCGAAACATAATTTGTACAAGAGATCATCACGGTCGTTATTGGAATATAATGGAATGTTACGAAAATCATAACTTTTTGCATGCCACCAATTATACATGTCAGTTATACTCAAGAATTGTGCATTTAAGTATTTTAAGAGGCAATCATTGTACCAAATTATAGATCTCGTTTGTTGAGGGCAATGCCGAGGAAGCTCTTGGCTTGCTTCGCTAATACAACTTTTGCAGAGTGTACTGGGGAGTTTATTCCAGCATTGCGCTAGTCCATGTACAGTTATCTTTGGTGAAAAATGCATATCAAATTATATATTAAACAAACAAATCATAATTGATCATACCTCAAGTCATGTGCCACACAGCCTCTTCCTACTCGAGTTTGCTACTGATCATGCAAATATAAAGAGAGCAAAATCAGAAAATAAAAAAATATATAAATATAAGAGAACCATACAAAACCAAATAAAAAATAAAAAAATAAAAGAAAAAATCGAAGCAGTTACTGAAGACGAAAAAAATAATCAGAACCAGACCTTAAGGCTTGGTGGGAGAGGGATGGGACTCATGGGAGGTATCAAGTTATCAATATCAAAGCGGGTTGGGCTTATTTCTTCAATGCAAAGCCGTGCTATGCTATGCCTTTGAACACAATGCAAGCCTTAGATTGGTCGGTGAGGTAAAACTCCATCATATTCGATTTCCTTTGCCAATGCATCTTATTCTTTTTATTTAATTTTTTTTATCTGGTTCAAAATGACGTTGTTTTGGTCTGGATTTTTTTTATAAAAAATATAGGTGTGTTGCGACTAAAGAAAAGAAGTTAGCCTCTTTGAGGCATTTTCACAAACAGTTAGTAGGCACCCGCAGAAGGGTAACTTCTAGTGCCACCAAAGCTTTTTCGGACAAGGGGAGGTGCAATTGCACCTCCTTGCTCTTTTGTGGGTCCGCCAAACTGCTCAAACCAAATCGTATTTACTGGTT